GTGAAGGGGACTATTGGTTGTGACTCAACTCAACTTAACTGACTTGACTGAACCGACCGTAGTGTAAGGCGAGTTTGTTTGATGTGTTGTTCTCCCTCGTCACAAAGATTTTTCTTCGGATTCTCATTCTCTAGTATTCCTCCCACCGTAAAAAATTAACATGTATTAACTGAGTTGAGTGTTGTATGTGTAGTGGTAGTGAGTGTTGAGCGAAACTCATTGAAGAGAAGATTCTCTTCGGGGAGTCGGTTGTAAATTCTGTTTTTTACTTAAGGAGGCTGGAAAGTGTTTTGTGCCTTCACATTATGAACTAAAAAAATTATTATGGCTATAATATGAGAGCAAGTAAACCCGGAAAGCCAAAGACCATAAACTAAACATCACAATGAACATGAAAAATGACGCGAGACGTTGCTATGACAACATCAGAACCCTTGGTGTGCCATCAAAAATGTTTATTTAAAAAATCACAACTCAGGAATGGTGAATTTTTTAAAAACGGGAATACTTCAACTTTGTATCGTAATCTTCTTTTTGACAAAAAAAGAAAAAATTCTGTAATAGGGAACTATTCCAAACAAATTTTATTGATTTTTACGAATTCCCTCTTAGCCTCCTTAAATTATAAGACGAGATAAGTTCACTAAGGGAAAAGGGTGGAGCACAGGGGGTAGGGTGGGGATGAGGAACACTCACCGACAGGAGAGAACTTGGCATGATCTCTACCAATCCCCTTCACGGCATGCATCCTGATATCAAGTTCCTATAAAACGAACATTTGTTTTAAGGCTGGTTTAGACGGTACGACTTTCGCCTACAACTATCGTATACAACACGCTCGCGCCATCCTGCAACTCGAGTCGTAGCGTGTAAATCAAGCCTACAACTCGCCTACGACAGACGCGAGCGTGTTGTATACAATAGTTGTAGGCGAAAATCGTACCGTCTAAACCGGCCTTTAGATAGGATAAAGGTGATAGCTGGTGATACTGGAAAGCTCAGATTTATAAATTTAAAAGAAATAAGAACGTTTATTTTACTGCTGCACAAAATCAATCCCTTTATGAAAAGTCTTTTTTGAGATGATTGGATTTTTTTTGTCTAAAACCACAGGGATACCGACAGCAGGTGTTAAGTTACATTGACTAGTAATAATGAAATGTCCCTCACCTGTCCGGGGCGCAGTTTAGCGATTAGAATATCATTATGTACTGGTCTGATATCTTGTGGTCCATACTGAAACATTAGTGAGACAAGTCTATCAAAATCCTGCAGCTGAATGCTGACGACTCCCAACCTGACAACCTTTCTCGTGTTTGGCTTGTTAGTGAATTTTTAATGTAGGAAGTGATAATTAAAAAAAAAAAAAAAGAAAAGAAAAAAAAAAACATTTTTTCCGGTTACAGCAACAAAGCGGCTAGCCGCCATTTTGGAATATCGCTGGAGGTGTCCGGGGCGCAGTTTAGCGATTAGAATATCATTATGTACTGGTCTGATATCTTGTGGTCCATACTGAAAGATTAATGAGACAAGTCTATCAGA